GATGTTTATCAAATATAATGTTTTGCTATGACTTCCAAAACAGCCTTTGAAAATCCTATATTTATTTAAGGTTTACAATGGTAAAGGAAACAATAAAAAGAAAGAGAGATGAACAAGGATTAAGTGTAAACTTTAAGGAGAGAGAGAAAAAAACAATATGGAGAATTATTAGGGAAAAAAAAAGAGATAAAGAACGGATGTAAGGTAAAACAAGATTAATATGATATTTTAGATTACATTCTTATTATAAAAATTAAAGAGAAAAACAAGAAAGAATGACTTCTAACAAAAAGAGCGGAAAAACTCCTAGGCAAGAGGAGAGGGTGACAAAATTAAAATAAAAATTTTATGAAACAATAACTTTTGACTTTATATTATAATAAAAACAATTCTAGAAATATATTTAGAAAAATAATTCAAATTATTATTATTATTATTATTATTATTATTAAAAAAAAAGATACATTACAAGTTAATTAGAATCCAATAAATCAAAAGTTTAAAGTTTCTAAGTTCGTTTGCCATGACTTATGAAAAAAAAATTAACTTCAAATTATAATTTACATTTAAAGTTCTTTTTGAAAAAATAAATTATCGCAAAAAAATAAGTTAAGTTAAAAGTATATTTAGTAAAAAAAATAATTAATTTTTTTATATATAGTACATGGAATTTGGCTTTTCTATAACGCTCACAAAAGCCGAGCCCTCACATCATCACGGGCTTTGGGCTCCTCCATAAAAACCCACCAAATCTACACCCTCACACAAGTATGGATTCTCTCTCTTGAGATCACAAAAATACTTTGCCCAACACTCCAAAAGGATGTCTAAGCCCATTATTTCATATAGTAAATATAGGGAATTTCTCAACCATAGTCACAAATCTCATAAGTCTCACAAGTTCAACAAAGACAACACAAATTCAAGCAATGGCAAAACACAAAAACATATATAAAGTAGTATCTTTCATTCCGAACAAACACATACATATCTCATTCTCTAGGTATACAAACATTATGTCCAAAAAACTACCGAGTTAACCGTTAAAGTGGCTTTGTCGGGCATTTCTCGACACCACAAACTCTAGTATTTCTTCTTCACACGTGCGGGACCAACAAGGATAACATTGCCACTAACTCGGTATTTCTTCTCCACTAACGTATTTTCCAAAGAAAACATATTCCCAAGTTTTTTTTTTAAAAAAAAAACTAGTGAAGAGAACTACAAGCAGATATTTATACTCGTTTGACAAATTATTATATAAACTCCGTTCGGATTACGCAATAGAAAGTAGGAAAAATTCAAATTTTACATCTTCGTTGGATGGGGAGGTTATGCAAACATGATTGGGGTGGGCGAGCTCTAAAGTTTAATATTATATTTTATGGATGCGTAACTTTACTAGTTTAGTAACACGGCACTTTAATAAAATATAAATATGGATTGCAAAAGTATTATTTTTTTAACTCTTGTTAAAAAATTAAAAAAAATTTAAAAATATTTGATAGAGTTTTGGGGTCATGAAACTTGGAGTAAATTCTAAAAGTTATTATGTTCGAAAAGCGATTTGATAAAAAAGTGGGTTAGAGAGTTTAGATTGAGCTGAATTAAAGTATTTAAGCTCTCCCGGGTAGTATTTAGATTGTATAAAAAATTTATACTATTTTGAGTTGATTTGGATAGTGAACGCATCCGACGTAATTTTGGATATCGCTATTGTGCGTTTGTTAATTGTAGGTGCCGTTTGGATTTTGTGCTTGAGGAGCTTGTGAATAGACATTGAATCTGATTTGAGTGTTGTTTGAGGTCCGATTGAGGTTTGTTTTATACTTTGATTATCTTAGCCTAGGTTTATTCAAGTGTTGCTTGGTATTGTTGAGTATTTTACGGGGCTTGGCATCTTAATCCGGCATCGCAATCTTCCGCCTTCGTCTTTTTCAATTCCTCATATATCATCAAGTATTTTAACATGGGAAAGGTATTTTCCGATCTTTTCCTCCCCTCGGAAAGAATAAATTAATATAGGAACCCGAATATTGTAGCAAGTCATAACGAACCGAACGTGAATTTCTCTTGTTTCCACCTTTCATGTAGTCCCCTAAACCATTTCTTCGACTACGATGACCTCATGTACAAATTAAACAAGTTAGAAATGATGAATGTCATCATCTTAGAATTTATATGACCACTAGACTTAAAAGAGGATATTTGCTTTGGTCTTCTAACTTTTGTCCTCACATCAAACAACTAAGAATCGGTAATACAATAAACACTACACCAAAAAAGGACATTGCGGGCGGTTTTTTTTGTTTAACCGCCTCTATAAATTGTAAAGGCGGTTTTGAGGACCGTCCCAAGACCGCCCGCAATGCCGCCATCTCTACAATATAGGGGCGGTTTTGGCAACCGTCGAGGATTTCGAGGTGGTTGCTTGGGGCGGTTTAAACCGCCTCGAAAAAAAAATTTTGAGGCGGTTCAAACCGCCTTTACGATACCAATATTATCATCGATTGTTTTGGCACATAATTTTTGGGGCGGTTTAGAACCGCCTCTATGTTTCAAAAATTTGTAAATTCAAAACCATCCCAAACTATAAAATTCATAATTTATACGATCGCCTCTACGTTCTATATTTTATAATTCATGCGAAATAAATGAATTTTGTTCTAAATTTATACGCATTTTATAATTCATCCTTCGAATTCAATTGTTTTTTTTATTTTGTCAAAAATAAATAAATAAATAATCTTGTTGAATGCAAATAAAAGAAAAATTATATAGCTTACACAATATTCTTAAATTTGCAATTATGAAATTCCAAATACATAAAAAGTCATCAAACATTCACAAGTGAAAAAAATAAAAAACTAAAGTATTAAATGACATGCTATTGCTAATTATATGAAGGGGTTTAACACATCCGAAATGGATGGGATTAGCATCAGAATGTCCATGAATTTGATCTTCTAATGAGAGGCTTCATTTGTTTGTCTTCTTCGAGTGCCACCATACCCAAATGCTAAGGGTCTTCCAATAACATTTTTGCCACCAAGTAACCAACGAATGGACAAGATTTGGAATTTATGAGCCTATTTCCCAATGTATTGACCAAGCTTCCCATCATAATATTCCGACTAACTATCTTTCATTAATCTTGTTTCAGCAAGCTCGATAGCACGTCTTGCAATTTGGGGGCATCTAGTCTTGATGCATGCGACGGTGAGAAGCCACAAAAGCATTGGATCTATTGCAATAGCCAAAATGTCTCAAAGCTAATCTTAATAAGGAAGTACATAAAAACAATGAAGATTTTAAATAGGTATATAAACGGTGTGAATAGGATTGAATACCATAGACATAGAATATATTAACTAATCTTTCAATCGAAGGCCAAAACGCATGAAAAATTGCACAAAAATAGTTAAAGCTCGTAAATGACAGATTGTTTATAAGATCCATTATTGTTGTTGATTGTTCGGGGGTTGCCAAGGATGATAGAGTTGCAATACAATTACCCAAGCAAAACCAACGAAGTCCATTCTTGCAGGAATAACATTTCCAATAAAGTAACCACCATGGATCGGTATAAAATTAAAAATTCATTCCGGAAGAGAATTGGATATTACATTAAACTTGTTAACAACAAGCATGAAAGTATTCCTCTCGTTTCAATCAACACTAAAAATTACCATAGTTTCAGCATCGGATGGAACCAAATTGGTGGCCGGATCTATCATTTCGTCCATGTATTATTCCTCAATTTACTTTAAGTCCAAAATCTGAAAATGCTCACACAAATGGAAAAGAAAATAAAATCAGCTATCCCAATAAAACTTCATTAAAACTCACAAAAAAACACCACTCCTCCAAATGAGTTGAGAAATTGAAATACGAGTAGTCAATTTCCATGTATCTAAAATCAATCTTAAAAGATTACACATAATTAATAGTAGCATTATTCGATGCGGAAGGTACAAAAGACGAGTTTTGAGGAGTACTTACACAATAGCTAGTCGTATTCACCGTAAACTTATCTCAAACTAGTTGATGCATTTTCAAGTGACAAATACGGACCTAAAATAACAATGTTGAGAGAATCCATTTCTTCTCCGACCAAAATAGACATACCCCGAAATGAATAGAGGTTGAATAGGATAGTGTATTCACCGTGGTCGCAAAAATTAAAAAAGGGCATCCAATAAAGTAGGCATTTAATTAAAAAGTGCGGTTAGGTGTCAATCGCAAAAAAGAAGGGAAAAAAAACAAAGTTTTGAAAATAGAAAAGAGGTTATAGAAAGAAAGCACCCACGACCAAATTGCAAGGGCATCCAATATCATATCACATACTCCTATTTGTGTAGAAACCTATTTCTCAATAAATAAGGAATTCACTACATTTCTAGTTTAGAATTTGATTCAGCAAAATTATGTTCCAAACCATCTCAACCTAAAGAATAACTTAAAAACTTGAATATGACAAGTAAATTACAAGATTTCGAGTAACTATGGATCTTAAATTAGTAGGAACAAACATCTACTTCTAGTAATGTAACTTCAAATGCAGTGAAAAAGAAGACACAGAATTACCATTCTTAGTATATTTATTTGATCGGCTCTTGTATTTGGAATGGAAATAGCGAGTAATCTGCTGGTGATTGCAAGTCAATATCTCATCTTTAAGCAAAGTATATTAAAAACCATATGGCATATATACATAGGTCTTGTCAAGAAGCAACATTTACATATTTCCACAAATAACGAGCATGGGGTTGGCTAATTGGTGAGAGGTGCGAGATAAGAGTTTGTCGTGATTTGAACCTTATTAGGTGCAAAATCTTCCTCGGAAGCATGTTAAATGGGTACCGGATCTAAATTACCTTAATGAAGCTATAAATTTACGTAAAGCTTTTGAGAAAAACTCAACAATATACTAATCAACTAAAGATAAAAGAAACAAAAATGCAAATAGATGAATAGACAATTTTATCAAAACCTATTACCCGAATAGTTGGTTCTTTGATTGGCATAGATTGCAATAAGTTTAATGACTTCATAAGCCTCCACAACTTCTTATTTCTAACAACTTTATCACTCGCATCATCCTAGAAAAAAAACCCGGATAAAAAAGTTAAACAAAAAATATGATAGATACTGAAAAAAATGCGGAAGAATGCAAAATTGAAACTTATCGGTTAAAGAAACAAGTAGTGAAATTAAATCCCTTCTAAGACATGGATACATGACGTCCATGTTTAAGGTAGCAAATCTGATTAGAATAATTAGAACACGTAACTCGAGGAAGAAGAAGAAGAAGAAGAAACCTAATAAAAAAGATTAAAGAAAAAAAGAGAAAAAGAAAAAACCTAAATAATTATGATTATGATGTGATTTTCTCTTAAAATAATTACGATTGGGATGTGATTTTCTCCTAAAATAATTGAATTGAAAAGGAGAAGAAGAAAAAACCTAGATCCGAAACAAAAAAGTCGGAGGAGGTTGGATACCGAAGTGTTTTTTATTTTTTTGGCTTTTGAGACTTGAAATAGAAAAAACGAGAGAGAGAGAGAGCAAGCGGGGTCGCTAAAAGTTAAGAATTAGGGCGGTTCTATCATTCGCCTCATATTATTTGTGTATAGCTCGTAAATTATTAAATTTTGGGGCGGTTTTCTTCACCGCCCCAAAACTTCGCCTCTATAACCAATTTTTGGTGTAGTGAAAGTTTTGTGGACGAAATCAATCTTATTGAATGATAGATTTGAGTTACAACACACGGTGCTCTTCCCGAACTTTCATCTATAGACATGATCATCGCACAACTATTTTTTCAATTTAGCTAAAGCTTGAGCAACCTCATTACTACAACATGGTAAATCGTTGAGACTCGTATTGTTGAACATCCTTACGTACCATGACTCCTCAAATCTTCGACGACTTGTCCCTAATTTGTTCCTTTGCGACTTGGACGAGCATATGTATTAGTATTGGTCTCAGCGAGTGGAAGATTTCCCGTGTTCTTCTATAAGGGGCCGTAAGATTCATAATCATATCATACGATCAATTTTTTTTTTTTTTTGAAAGGCAATCATACCTCTACGAACAAAGTTTACCAAATAAAACCCCACCGAAAATAATTGCTCCAAACCATTCGTTGGACATAAATCGCAGACCAAAGAAAATGATAAGATTGGGTAGATGACAATACAAGCTTCAAAGTGGTTTAAATGAAGAGATTTAGAGAAAAAGTAATCGTTTGCAAAATCATGAACTTAATGCAAATGTTAAAGAGCTCTAGGCATACTTTCTACCGCAATCAGCGAGTGCATGATAGATTTGTCGACCATATTTGCCAAGCTAATTGGCCGTAACATGCTGCCAAAAATGCATAGAATGGCCACCGTGCTTGACATTTTATTAATGACAAAAGAGTAGGAGAAAAAGAAAATAGGTTACTTCGACGAAACAACGGTGAGTGGAAGTGAAACATCGAAGCATATAAAAAGCAAATACCAAGGTCGGCATTGAATCCAGTGAGGGCAAGACCACTAATGCATGCAATTCCAAACCCGAGTGATCCATTCCTTCGTTGAATCCCCAAATAACAAGGCGAGTAGATTTAACACCCACTTTGAGATCATCTTCCTTGTCCCGACCACATGGTTATTGAAATCATTCCAAACTCAATGAGCCTCTCTTTTATGTAATGAAACCGGGGGTTAGGTTAAAGAAGCCTTAGCTTTTGATGCGATCCAATGTAACAAAGTAATGCAATTCAATGTTATAAGCAATCCAATGTAACAAGTATAGACAATATGTAAAGGTAAAAAGGAATCGATTGATTTTGAATAAATATGGGTTTACAAAGAACAAAACCAAACACATTCAAGAGGTGTCCGCTCTCCCAATTATCACTTTACCCAAAAGCATAAAAAACCTCCTCATCATTCCCACGCCCCTAATATATGTAACACTCTATCGGAAAATCTTAACAACCTTACCACCTCATTATTCTAGATGGTACTAACTACTCAAGCGACTCTACTCAATGGAAACATAGTAATAAAATGGAAGCAATTCAATTAACTTCCTTTTGGGCAAAATGTAACTTGGGCCTTCAAACCTTCGGACTCCTCCCTTTGCTGTAGCTAGGCCTCTCTTCTTCTTCCTAGCATACTAGAAGTGGATTGGAGGCTTATCAATACCACCCCCTAAGAGTTTCACCTTGTCCTCAAGGTGGAAGAAAGGAAATTGTTGGTCAATGTTGGAATATGGCTCCTAGGAGGCCTTAAAATCTAGCAAGCCTCTTCATTTTATCAACACGTCCGGTCCATCCTTGCCTTCATTCCCTTTATACATGCTCGGTATAGAGTCCGGTTCCACCCGCCATTCTAAATCATCTTGTGATGAGGGAGAAAGGTCTTAGCTAGTCTCATCCACCCTAATGGCAGCCTTGAGTTGAGACACATGAAACACGGGGTGGATAAGGGCTAACTCTAGTAGAGCCGGCTTGTAAGCCACGGAACCAATTCTTTGGACAACCGGATAAGGGCCAAAATAATGAGGGGATAACTTTTCATTCAACTTTCGTGCTAATGATTTACTTCGATATGGTCGAAGTTTCAAATACACTAAGTCCCCTACTTGAAAACTCACATCCCGTCGATGTTGGTCCGTATTTTTTCATGCGCAACTAGGCTAGGTGTAGCTGCTCTTTCATTTCTTTAAGCATCAAATCGCTCCTCCATAACTCGCTCCGGTCGGCAAACTACGGTAGTGGTGGGGGGTCACGCCCATACACCACCTTGAAGGGACTAAGCTTGGTGGAGGTGTGGAATTAGGTATTATACCAATACTCACACTAAGGCAGCCGGCGACTCTAAGTTTTTGGTTAGGTCCGCATAAAGCAACGTAAATAATTTCAAGGCATCGGTTGACGACCTTGGTTTGTTCATTTGTTTAGGGGGTAGGTTGTGCTACGCCTTAGTCGTGCTTATTGGAGGCGAAAGAGTTCGGTACAAAAAGAACTCATAAAAACCTTATCACGATCGACACAATCGATCTAGGAAACCCATGAAGCTTGATAATGTTTTGCACAAATATCTCTGCAATTCCAAGCAGTCGAGAAAGGATGTTTTATGGTAATGAAGTGGCCATACTTGCTAAGTCGATCCACCACCACCACCGTATTGCATTCCACCCTACCGACTTGGGTAAACCCTCAATAAAATCTATGGATATATCCTCCTAAATCTATTTCGAAATTGGAAAGTGGTCGTAATAACCCGACAAGGGATAAGGATAAGCTTTTGTTTTGCTGAAAAACCTCACAACCCTCCACATTTTGCTTAATATCCTTCCTCATGCCCTCCCAATAAGGTTCTATCATAATCCATTTATAGGTTTTTTAAGAAGCCCATATGCCCCCTATCAAACTTCCATGAAACTCAGCTAATAATACCGGTATTAAGGTGAAGGTTTGGGAGATTACCAATTGATTCTTGTAGCGGAGCTACCCTTGGATTATACTCCACCTCGGTTTGTTGTTCGGATCCTACCGCAAGTCGGCTTGATGGCCGCCAATTTTGGGTCATTTTTCACTTCGTACACTAACTTATCCACATCAATACTTTGAGCCATGGTAAGGTGTAAGAGGGCTAGCAATCGGGATAGAGCATGCGTTGCCTTATTCTCTAGTTCGGGTTTATACTCGATGTTAAAGTCAAATCTTAAGAGCTTGGCTTACCATTTGTGGTGCTTCTCCGACATTAACCGTTGTTCAAGGAGATGCTTGAGGCTCCTTTGTTCCGTTCGGATAAGAAATTTTCTTCCTACCGAGTAGTGTCACCATTTTTGCACCGCAAACACTATGGCCATGAGCTTCGTTCATACACCGACTTCAATTACGCTCGCCCTCGAGAGCTTGACCGTAATATGCAAATGGGCAATTTTGTTACATTAGTACCGCCTAGTCCCGTCCCCGAAGCGTCTATCTCCACAACAAATCTCTCCTCAAAGTTGGGTAAAGCTAAAGTAGGAATGGTCGTCATGGTCCGCTTCAATCCATGGACTCGCTGCAGTAGCCTCATCAAACCATTTGAAGGCATCCTTCTTCAATTAGTAAGTCAATGGGGCTATAATTTTACCATAATCTTTGACAAACCGTCGGTAATAACCGATGAGGCCCAAAAAGCCCTGCAGCCTCCTTCGGATTTTTCGAACTAACCACTATGACGTAGCCGTAATTTTATCGAGTTAGTCGACACCCCATCGCACTAATGATGTGCCCTAAGTATTCGATCCTGTGCTCGATCGAATTTACACTTTTTAAGTTAGCAAATAGATTGTGAGCCTTAAAGGTTAACAATACCTCCTTCGGATGCTACTCGTGTTGGTCCCCGTAAACCAATATGTCATCGAAAAACACCAATACCCCTTTCCTCAACGACGGCTTGAAAATGGTATTCATGATTAACTAGAATATGGCCGATGCATTGGTCGATCCAAAAGGCATTACCAAAACTCATAATGCCCCTCATGTGTTCGAATGTCGTCTTAGGTATATCTTGTTCTTTCGTTCGAATTTGATGGTACCCCGATTTGAGGTCTAGTTTTGAAAACAAGCAAGCCCCTTGCAGTTCATCAAATAACTCGTTGATGGTACGGATGGAAAAATGATCGGGGACGAGTGGCTTTATTTAATGCTCAATAGTCTATGCAAAACCTCTAGCTTCCATCCTTTTTCCTAACCAATAAGATCGGGCTTAAGAAAGGACTCACACTCGATTGTATAATTCCAACTCGCTAGCATTTCTTTCACTAACTTCTCAATTTCATCTTTTTGGGCATATGGATATCGGTAGGGCCTCACATTGATTGGAATGGATCCTGGTTAGAGATTTATCGATTTATCTCGTGGCTCTTTTCCCTCCATGGTGGCAACTCCTTTGGCCACTCAAACACCTGTCCGAAACTCATCTACCACCTCCCGAACCTCCTCCGGAACCAACCCTTTAGCCTCCCCCATCTTGGAGGTCATGCAACCTAATTCCATCAATACCCCTTGTCCCTCCTACTAAATGGTTTTAATCATAGTTTTCGGAGACACCATTGATTTACTCAACCTCGGGTCTCCTCGAAGAACCACCGCCTTCCTTCAATAGGAATTTTCAATGTTAATGTGTGCCAATCAAACTTGATATGCCGAATCGAGAACAACCATTTGAGAACCAAAATGATGTCCGAGCTCCCAATGTCAAAGGATAGGAAGTCCTCCACCACGATAATCTTCTCGCCATTTCAAGCATAATTTCCCTACAAATTCCTCTCCCCGGTACGGGTGCTTCGATGCCAAGAGCCACTCCATATCGATCTGTCTCGGTGATAGAGATACCCAAATATCATACCAATTCTTTACTAATGAAATTGTGTGTTACTCCCTAATCAATAAGAACAACCATCTCTCTTCCCCTCGGTTCTCCCATGAGCTTCATTGTGTGGGGAGAGGTAAGCCCAATGACTAAGTTCAATGACAACTAGACCTCCCCTACCTAGAGCGAGCACCTTCTCCTCCTCTCCATCTTCATCTTCGAAATTTTCAACCTCTTCCTCATCATCACATATAGCCATAATGTTCAACTCTCGGTTCTTGCAGTGGTGTCCCACATGAAATTTCTCATCGCACTTAAAACATAAACCCTTCTCCCTCTTTGCTTGAATCCTTGCTGTTGTCATGCACTTGAATGGGGTATATGGTGGTCTCTGTTCGGATATGAGGTTTAAATTTGAGTTTGGGGCATGAGGGTTTGATTGGGCTCGAGTTGTAGGGGTCCAAGTGGTATATTTATGGAGGGTGAAAGCGTGGGTTGGGTTCTAGGTAGCTTGGGTCTTCCTTAGGTGTTTATTGGGATTAGCATCTTAGGTCGGCCTCATTATCATATTCCCCTCTTTAATCCGTTCAGCCGACTTCATTACCTCCATCATGTTGTTACAACTCAACTTCAACAACTCCCCACAAATCCTTTCTTCCAGCCCATTAATGAACACGACCACCGATGTGTCATCTTCTAAGTTTTTCAAAGGAATCAAAAGTGGTCTCAAAATCTTTCGATAATGGACTACGGTTGAGGTTTGCCTTAATGACGAAGGTGTTGTTGTTGGGTCTCCTTTCTTTTTAGCAAAAACCTTCTCATAAGCCGGGTCTTCGGCTCCTCCTATGTCAAATAGGATCGGTGATTCTCCTCTCACTACGACCAAGCCGTGGCCGAGCCTCCGAGATAAACCCCAACAGACATCTAACTTTTCCACATCGGTTAGTTTGTTAACCCCGAAGTACCTCTCAAATGGGAATACCCAAAGAGTAGGGTCATCCTCCCCATCATAAGTGGGCATCTCTAGTTTTTTATAATATCTATAGTGGTAAGTGGGTACATGTGCAGCCATTCCCTCCCTCAAAGGAGTTTCCTCCATTTCCGGTTCTCCCGTCCATGTTACCTCTTTTTCCCCGCTTGACTCGGCCATACTCTTCCTCATCGAAACAACACTCTTATGAATGACACTCAAAACCTCATCCATTTTCTAGTTGAAGGAGGATTCAAGATTGGCCGATCAATTTTCAAGGCCCGGAAGTTTCCCTTCGAGGTTTTCTATTCTAGACTCCATTCCGGTTGATAGTATTCCAAGGGATCAATAACCGACTCGATACCTAAATGATGCAATCCAATGTAACAAAGTAATGCAATTCAATGTAACAAGTAATCCAATGTAACAGAATGGAGAATATGTAAAGGTTAAAAGGAATTTGATTGATTTTGAATAAATGTGTGTTTACAAAGAACAAAACCAAGCACATTCGAGAGGTGCCTGCTCTCCCAATTAGCACTTTACCCAAAAGCATAAAAAAACCCCTCATCATTCCCACGCCCCTAATATATGTAAACACTCTATTAGAAAATCCTAACAACCTTGCCACCTCATTACTCTAGATGGTACTAACTACTCAAGCGACTCTACTCAATGGAAACACGGTAATAAAATGGAAGCAATTCACGGTAACTTCCTTTGGGAAAGAATGTAACTTGGGCCTTCAAACCTTTAGACTCCTCTCTTAGCTACAGCTGGGCATCCCTTCTTCTTCCTAGCATACTAGAAGTGGATTGGAGACTTATCAACTTTTTAAGCGAGGACTTTCCATATAAAATAGTTCTATGAGCCAAAAAGTCTTGTTGCATAGAAAAGTTAAAAAACAATAGGGTAACAATCATTTGAATAAAAAAAAGTTATACCCGATGTGCATAAATTGTATCATACACGAGAGTCCAAAATATACCACTAGCATATAAAGGCAATCCAATGGCTGGATCAAGAGATCCTTTAACTGCAGACCAACCAAGTAAAGCTCTCTATCTAAATGACAAGCTTAGATAGGCTTGAGGCCGCACTCAAAAATCGCATTTAATAGAGTTATCGATCTATTTTCAAAAAGAAACAAAAACTCATGGCATACATGAGAATAGCAAAGACGAATAGGTAAATATCATTACCCAATAAGTCACTCTCTTCATGAAAGGATAGGTAAAAACCACAAACATAGACAGTACTCTTAAAACCGACTACCAAAAGTAATTAAGCAACAGTTATTGCAAATGATTACATGATCTTGATGCACAAGTCGCTAGCATTGATTTGAATTCTAGCAAACTACATGCGACTTTTAAGAGTGACTAACACGAGCATTAACCTATAATTATTCGAGTTGAAGAAGAATCCCAAGACCCAAAAACAACTTAAAACCAAGAAAACACGCCCCTTGAAATAGGGTCAAATCCCCATTTGCAATCGGTCTCCACTTTGTCCGATCAACTCTGCGAACAAAAATTCCCATCAAAGATAAGAACTTCTTAAGAAGAAACAATTATTAATCCAACACATTAACTTTAAATTTGTAAAATTTACAAATTTACTCGCATAACCAACAAAATAACTTCATACAAGTAACCCAAAAAACATTTCCAATCACAAAACAGAACACCAAACCATCTTAACCAACATTAATTAATAAAAACTTCACCTTTGCATCAATATCTCTATAAAAAATATCATTTACGAGTATATGCAATACTTCTTACAAGCAAAGACTCTAAACCAAACAAACCCATCATCTTGAGATCGGGAAGACTTCCGATGTAGTAGCCAATGTAATTGACCTACACATAAATAATGATGCTATTAAGATCAAAACTGTTACAAAATTCCTACGAGAAACCAAACAAAACCAACAAAAATCCAAACTTCTAAAAAAATTTATTGGCTTTTACGTCATTTTCTTAGCATTGACATTAAATCATACTACATGGTAGGCCAAGCAAGAAGCCACGTCCTAATTTGCTTATCAAGCCTAGCAAGACGTGCATAAGGTCTAACTTGTCGAGCCAAATACACATCAATCCATGAAGTCTTTCCTCCCTTCGTTAACTCTCCATTCTCATGAATCCGTTGTTTCTCATTCTTTGAAACTAAAGAGGTGGAGATTTCTTTAATGAACATTAAATGGGAAGGAAAATTAGGAATTTGGATTTGGTTCGGTTTTGGCAGACAAAATGGGGAAAGGAAAGGGTGGTGGTTGATATAATTTGGGCTAG